GCTCAGATATGCCTACGGTATTAATTTTGATGTGTTTTATTGTTTTCTATATTGTTTGTGTCGGATGTCTTCTATTGTACCAAAAATAAAATAAAAGCAATGAAAAAAATTTTGGGTAATACTAAGTCAATGGTAATATTGTTATATTAGGTTATAATATCGTGGTTTATTATTTTACCTGGTCAAGCTGGTCAATGGAGGTGTGACTGGTGGGACTCTTGATGGTGTCGAAGACGGAAGAGTCGCTGTCGTGGTCAGACTGATGCTGTGGCGCTTCTGGGCTGTCCGGTATTTCTCCTGCCGCTATAATCACATTACAAAAGTCTTAGCGCGTCCCCAGTTCCACATCCGACCGAAACAATTACTGTCAAATAAATAACACTCGATCAAATTAAAAGAAGCATGGTGCGAATGAGGCTCAGTGGATATTTGGGAAATAAGGCTTTATAATAACGTCAATAATGTTTTAAAAATATATTCATATACTCAAAGTGAATATAAAATAATTACAACTCATTGGCTTTTATAGAAAGATTGTAGTCTTCGGAAACGAAAAATGTTATGTCAAATTATTAGTTATGTATTGATGTTAGTACTCGTATAAACACCTACTCTTCCACACCTTAAGACGTCTAGCTAGCCTCAACACGCACGCACGCACGCACGCACGCATGCACGCATGCACGCACTCACACACACACACACACACACACATACACAAGTTGGCAAGTCCCATGTGCCAGTAATATCACCAGCACCTTTACCCTTCGAAAAAAACGCAGTAATTAATTCATATTAGGGCTTGGCAGGTGAAAGGTGGCAGTACTTCCCAGGACGAACTCTTTCACAAGGAGCTCTATTGCTACTAAATATGTCAATCAGTCAGTATTACAGCGTAGGTATTTTCGATTTCTATGAGATTGATGTATCTGTTACGCAGTACGTATTAAGGAATTTGTGGTACAACGAGCAACGCAAGAGGCGTGCCCGCTAATGGCCACTTACCGTGCGCGTGGATGGTCTTGCGCTGCGCCCTGGTCTCGGGCGGCTGCGGGGGGTGCAGCGGGTGCAGCGCGGGGCGGGCGCGGCACACGGCCGCCTGCACCACCTCGCACACGCGCCGGAAGCGCCGGATGTTGCCTGCGGGGGATCACTCATGACCAAGAAACTCGTCTCAACTTGTTTAGTTGGTATAGCGTCTGGCACGGTATGCTAGAAGACGTCGGTTCGAATCCGGCCGGATCGAAGGAATTTTTTCTAAGTGTTCGATCTTTGTATTAATAATTATAACAAACTAGTGGAGTAATTTCACATAAAAAATAATTGAATATCAATTCAATAAAAATTTTAAATATAATGTAATTTTTAAGTTTATTGACGTCTATCAAGTATATAACCAGAAATAGAGACGAAATGTCAGTTAATTTGCTTGAAAACTATTCTGCCAAATCATTACTGTAACAACTGCGGTCCGATTTGCCAGCCCGAATTCGAAACAATTGACGGGTGTCGTCAATTGATTCGAATTCGGGCTTCGAGTTTCGCTTCAAAACGACCAGTTTAACTTGAGCTTTGCTGTAATGAACGAAAATTGAAAAATTACATATTTAATTGCCGATGAAATGTGACTCTGTTTGTTTTGTAGATGTTTTGCTGTTTTTCCCTCACCACCGAATGGAACAGCCCCCATTGTCAGCGATATTATCGTTATTACAATAAATACAGAATATTTTTGGAATATACGGAGACGTACACACAGGTCAGTTGTCGGCGCTGTACTATTTCAGTTTGCAGATTTGTGATGTCTGCGCAAACGAGAGTTGATATTTAAAAATGTTATAAGGCCCATTTGCCTGATAAGTTGCAAGGGATGGATGGCCCTCATTTCGTCTCTATTTCTGGTTATATACTCGATGTTGATGTCATAATGTTTTAGTAATGTGATATTCGAATATTTTGTGAAATTACTCCACTACAGTTCATTTCACATAACATGATTCCGGTGTTTGAGATTTGAAGTTTCAATGTGGTGAAGTTACATCGAATGAAAAATAATTTAGAAACAAATAATAAACAAAATAAAAAGGATTCAATTATTATGTTAATAAGTCACCAAAACACTACACAACAAATAAAAAAATCAACAACAACCAAATAGTCAACATCAAAGCATAAAATCTATACAATGAAGCGGTATTTGAAATATTACTCCAAAAAGATCACGCAAATATCAAAACAGAAGAAATTGACCAGCACTACAAGGTATATGCACTTGACGCAAGATATACAACAGCCGATTCGATTTTAAGGTGTGAATCTCTATGAATAAAATATTCCGTTTCACGCATCAAGTAATTGGGTGATTTATTTTTATCTTTATCGTTTAATTTTCTTCGTACTTAATATACTGTATTTTTATTTAAAATTATAACTGCAATAAATATTGTTTGTTTTTGGTACATTACGACAAATTTATTATATTTTTTTGTAACCTGGTTGAGAGATTAGTTAGAAATAGTATGCGTGCAACATAAAAATTGAAAATGTCACATTACTCATCCTATGTGAAATGGACAATAGTTTGTTATAATTGTAGCTGCCACCAGACGTGGCAGAGTGCCAAACCCGCTTTCAACATTCAGGCACGTCTTAAAGCAAGCAAAGGATGATGAGTTTCTTAACCAAAATATAACCAGTCACCTACAAACACCCTATTATGTCATGGTAAAATAATTATTAATACAAAGATCGAACACTAAGAAAAATTCCTTCGTACCAGCTGGATTCGCACCAGCGTCTTCCAGCAAACCGTGCTAGAATGTGTCAGATAGCCACACCATTTACCTGGTCTCAAACGAGGGAATTCCCTGTACCAGAGCAACGGAATTCATTCTGGGGCACTTCCCAGAACACCCAGAATAGAACCAATGTAGAAATATTTTATTTACCAAATTGGTCCTACTGGGAATCGAACCCAGGACCTCTGCATCCAGCGCCCACGGTGCAAAACCGTTAAGCCACAAAGGTTGTCATATTTTATTAAATATCATGGTTTTTTCATGATATCAAGTGACGGGGTGAACAAATCGAGGGCCTGGTGGTAAGTGACACACTTGTCCATAACAGTTATAGTACCACTCGCAGCTTTACTTCGCATACCATAGATCTGAAAGGCACTGTGCACGTCACCCTGAGACAAAACATTGACAAGTCTCACGGGCTCTTCAAACCCGGAACGCAGTATGTAGTTCACATTACTGTTTGGCGGTAGAAATAGGTAAGGTGGCAGTGCTTCCCTGGACGAACTCTTTCACATGGAGCTCTACTGCTACTAAATCTACCGCTACTGTTTTTACTACCATAATATTCATATATTTTTTGTGAAGATACTCCAAACAAAAACATTCTTATGATGGTTCATACTGTTTGCCAGACCGGGGCTACGGCTCTCCCAACTGAGCTATAGAACTGTTTGATTGATTTTTATATTAACAATAACACTACAGTAATTATAATTTGTTTTAAAGTATGAGTCACAAAGTTTGTAACCTGAATATAAATTAATTAATTTAAAAAAAAATGAAAATTAATACATTTTTCAGTTAGGTTTAAACTTTAAACTTACCCGACAATAATGTAAAAGTTATAGCATATAAATATTCCTTTCCGTTCTCTCCAGGCGCTTTCGTGATAGTGGAAATATCGACCTGGAAAACATAATATTATTACAGGTTAGATGTGATGTGACATTGGAAAATGCACGTCTCGACAGCATAGTCTTGAAGACGATAGTGGACAAATTTGAAAACCTCATCCAGAATATACCCGTAACTAACTAATTAATCAGAATGTAATTACAATATAATTTTCTCATCACACTTGCTCGTAAATAATATGATTGCGTGGTGGCTAACTTGACTAAAATGCCCTAAGTAAAAATCCTCGGGCCTTTTTTTCCCATTACAGCCGTGATTTTTTTTTTAATTTGGAGCACGGCATACTTTCCTTACATAGGTCAGTTTCAAGTTCAAGCAAGGAGTTTACATACGTTCAAAATTATAATTGATTTTAATTATTTTCTATACAAAAATTTTGCTATATCTTTGCTTTTTGCAACATTTTAGTTCGAGTTGTAATATCTATGGAAGTTCTCTAGCTGGCCATCTGTTGACAAAAAAAACCTGCCATTTGCAAAACCATACTTGTTGCGTTGTGAACCATATTTATTTATAAGCATTGTATTTATTTCCTCGCAAATGTGATGAACAATAAAAACATTGTATGTACCACAGACGGTAAAAAATACAAAACTCAAGGTATTAAAGCCTCAGCCTTCGGCTTCGACCTCGTTAGTACTTCCTTGTTTACCGTCCTTCTTATTTATCGTAGAGTTAATACACAATGTACTTATTAATCATCCATATTTAAACAAAGATTGATGAAAAATAAAATACGTGTTTTCACTCTTAGTGTCACTAAGAACTAAAATATTGAGATAGATCAGAAAGTTATCTAAAAAAAAGGTTTGATTGTAACCACTACACTTTCACAAGCTTAGGGCCGTCAAATTGCCAAAGGTTTGTGCTGTTCTCGTAGACACATCTTAGTAATATTGCGCGAGTCACCCTGTATGGTGAATTCCTTTTACTTTTTATTTTCGTAACATAATTGTAAGTATTTTTTTTACTGATTTACTACTTATAATGAAAGAAATATGAGACAATAATTAATGCATTTTATTAACATAAAAAAACCGATCTCAAAATTGTATTTGCCAAGTGTTATTGAAATCGCTTAATGGAAAGTGGGTGAGATCCAATAAACCGGATTCAACCCCTAATTTGACACCCTTAGAGGTGGACTATTATCTTTAAATTTGAAAAAAGAATCATCGAAATTGGTTCCCGAATGTCGGAGTAATATATACATACAAAAAAAATACAATTAAATTGAGATCTTCCTTTTTTTGATATACAAGATGAGAATCAAATAATTAATTTTTTGAAGACCTCTGTGGTTGAGTCGTTTGCACATCGGTTTTCAAGGTGTCACCAACTCTGAGGTCTCAGGTTCGATCCTCAGCCGGGGCAATATAGAAACTAACTTTTCTATATAGTCTCGGGTATGGGTGTGTGTGGTGCCGTTCTTGTTTCCAATTTCCATAACATAAGTTCTTTAGTTACTTGCTTTTGAGATCAGAGCACTGCATGTGATGTTGTCTAATATTTTTGTACTTACGACTGTAATAATCCGTTATTATTACCTGAAAACGCACGTGCCTCTGAAACATGGCGGGCGCGTTGGAGCCTCGTTTGTACTCAACGCGGAACGACATTGGACTTAGTACGCTGTGAGACAGCTCTGCTATCTGTAAGTAAACATGTAAACAAATAATTAAAATATACATGTAAACAAATAATTAAAATATGTTACCATTAGACTAAAAACGTATGATTAAAAAGTAAGAGATTCATTCCAATTTGAAAGTAGTATATTCCTAGTTGGAAACAAAAAATACTTACTTTGAGATGGAGTACTTAGTATAAATACAATTAAATCTTTCATAACTAGATCTAGTCAAGTAATACCTAAACAGAAGCTAGTATTTTTTTTATTAAGACACCAAGAGGCGGGGCGGACAAATCGTGCGCCTGGTGGTAAGCGACACTCCACCACAACAGTTGCAATACCATTCAGGCTTTAATGTTAAATATAAGAAGTAAGTTTTTATTCCTTGTAATATTGTTGAAATATTGATCATGGGCTAAAATTTTTTTCTGAACTTTGAAAAATCGACCACTACTATGTAACTATTACGTAAAACTTGGCAATTTCGACATACGATACTTTAAGTAGGAGGGGTCGAAATATGCGTGTCAACACATTTCATCGTGTGTTATAAAGTAATGTATAAATTAACGCCTCCAAATATCGTTAGATCGAGCTAAACAAAAAGAATATAAGCTATATAGAGCTAAATAATAAGAATAGCACTATTCTAGTTGATTTGTTTGTTATCACTAGAAATAACAAATTAGTTACAAAAATAGTTGGTATCTCGTTTTGACATCTGGTGTACCAATTGGGTACTAAATATACGGATATTAGCAGTCCTCTTTGAGTTATTGCTCCATTGCATGGTTGGTTAAATATAAATTGTACACCTTAAATTGCGTGCGGTGACCTGGCTTACATGGTTGGACCTCATATTATGTTTAGAACTGTTTATTCATATGATGTAATGATTTAATAAAATACGAATTGAGAAATGTACTTACACTGAGAAAGGCATGTATAAGGTCGGCTTTGACAGTCGCCAAAGGTTTTCCCTTTACTAAAGCGGTGACCGTCTCTTCCTTGTCGGCTGCCAGCAGGAGTGATCCGAACCAAGAACGTTTTGTTAATTCAGGAGATGTTTCTGGGGTTAGCTGGACTTCTTCAGATGAAGCTGGGGATGTTAAAAAAAATTACGATTACTTTAATTACTTACGATTTTATGTCTTTAATGTAATAGTGAAATAGTGACACACAAAGGCACTTTATTCACTCAGAAGTCAGAAAGTACATTTGCCCGAATCTTCATAATGCCATATGTTTTTTTTTTTTTTGGAATATTACAAAAGCTAATTTTGACTTTGTGAGAAGCATCAAAATTACTTGAAAGCGTAACGGTTTTATTATAAATCGCAATATTTGAGTTTACGTTTAGTTGGAATATCGGTCTATTTCTTATAGTACACGCTTATTTTACATTTGTAATATTTGCATGAATATATCTGCCCAACGCTTTATTATTTCTTCAAGTGAATTTGTACAAAATTCGACATAATAATACACATAAAAATTAATTGATATTTACAATAAAGGCTACTCCATTACTCTTGTGTTCAAGTAATTTTCAGTCAAAGCTAAATAAGGTGCATTTTGTTAAGCTTTCAGAAGAAGCTGAATATGGTGTTTCTGGGCCCTTTAAATTGCTGCAAGCTAAATTGGGCAGTACTGCAATGACGTTACAATTTAAATTTATTTTTTAGTTTTTTTATATTTCGTCACATGTCACTAGGTTTGTATAGGTTAACTTCGGACATTTTTTTCGTGGTTTTTGTATTAGAGCCGACGTCCATTTGTTGGTAGGTGAATGGCAAGTTACGTTTTGAATTCATATTGAAATTTCAACCAATGTGCTGCCATCTAACGGTCAATGGCTGAACGAAGACAAATTCGAGATGTTTACTTAGTCCTCCAAAAAAGAAGCGACCATGACGCAGCGGTATAAGGTTTACATTCGTTCCTTGTAACCAAAAAAATATTACGATAATGAGAAAATTGAAAATAAGACTTGTAGTCGTGTCAAGATAGCATCCTCTTTTTGTCAGATAGTTTTAGTCGTGATACATCCACTTTAATTAGTATCATTAATACTAGTATGGTACTAGTTACTAATATAGTATAGGAATTTAGTGGTATTCATACCCTGATTGACATGATTTTGATTTACCATTAATAAATATCATTAATTTATATTTCTTGGTCAATATTTCTAATATGTTTTATATACGAATTGTTATCAGAGGTGAGGGACCTGGTTACCTATATTACAAGCTTCGGCTTAGTTTAGGAACCAGTCTCTAGTAAACATACTGCAATAAATTTGATTGTGTATATTATCTAAATTCTTATCTAACTGTTATGTTTGTGGAGAAAAAAATTAATAATTATTATTATTGTATTATTATACCCGCCTGAGATCACAAGGAACAGAAGCAACAAGATGCATACAAGGCTATCACACTCGTATTGATGTGCCGTATGCAGTGAGTGCAACTTGTGCCAAATAAAATTTTTACTTTACCCATACATGTTTTGGGAATTTTGTGGTTATTTAAATAATTCGTTAATTATTTTTTGCGGCAAAATTAACATATATTTGCAAATAATATAAATAAGTAATCTTATGAACGGTGTTTGCAATGATCAATTTTGATACATTTATTCATGTTTTTTAACGTATAAATTTTCGATGGCAACACTTTTGCTTAATTTCTGAGGATATTGCTACTGTAACAATCATACTTTTTTTTTAATCACTTAATAGTACTATCTTATTGCTTGCGGGACATCACTAGGTTTAAGAAAAAAAAACATAGAACATAACCAATATAAATGACGTATCATAAATACAAACTATCACAACTTTAATGCAGATATTAAATTAAATTTTATGTGATTGTAGATAAATACTATACATTTAACCGAAAAAAACACGTCGTTGGTGTTCACAGTGGAGATAAATTATTCGTATCCTATTTGGACAATAATTATTAAGTTACATTCTATCGCCGTTCAAAGCTGTCAAAACGAGGATGCTATCTTGCCTCGACTATAACGATGATATGAAACACCACCATAGATAATATTACAAATGCGACTATCATTCTTGCACTCCAAATTAGAAAAATAAGATATATTTCTACGATTTTCGAGGTTTTGCGTCAGACAATTGACACGACCATAACGTAAAAAGCGAAAATGGCGTACTGAGCAAGTGACAAGTACCAAGCAAACTAAGCACTGCATGTATTTATTGTTCTGTGGCCGAGTCTGACGCAAGTAAATAATCGTCCTGTAATATACGTAATAAAGTGTAAAATAGTGAAAAAAACTTATTAGATAATGTATGTGCGAGTGTGATTATAAGTACAGCTGTGGGAGTAAATTGTGATTGTAAATAGATTTTAGTGTTGTATGATGTATTTAGTATATATAATGTAATTATAATGTCAACAGATGTAGTAAAATGCGCTTGTGTAATAAACAGTTTTGTTTCTTTCTTTAAAAATGAAATTCCATTATAGAAAGTCCACGGACCACACTACACAGTTTTTTAAGTGAGATGTGTTGCCGGTACAGTGCTTTAAATTTGTGTTTGAAAGTGAGAGAGAGAGGGAGGTGTGAGACGCCAGCGGTACTGACTCTGCATTTTCCTTCGGTGGAACCTGGGCGAGCCGAGGAAGGAGTTCTTGATGGTGGCCAGCCGCGCGCGCCACGGGGCCGCCGCGCCGCCTGCGCACGCGCCGGCGCCGGGGGGCACGCCTGCAACGGGGGAACACACGCTTCATATTCAGTCGACATCAACGGGTTGGTTGGGTTGGTTGAAAAGCGCATTTCAAATTAAATTTCGCACAAAACTAGGAGGTGCGGGCCCGGATTCGAACCTAAGGCCTCTGCTCTGAGAGGCGGTAGGTCAAACTATTAGGGAGCTAAACTATTCTTCCGGATTTAAATCGCGTATATTTGTTTCTTAAAACTCGAATTTCTCTTTTAATGTAATACACTATTGGGTACATACCCGTCATAGTACCCAAGTTGGGTAGGAAGGAAGGCTGCGCGGGCGACTGTATTGTACTCGGAGGGCCGGGAAGCGATGATCTCTCTCGCACTGGAACAAAAAATTATGTGCAATAAAAGAATCTCTTCAGAGAAGATTCGGATAATGATAAATCTTGCTCCTCTTTCTACGCTGTGTTTAAATATATTGGTTTGTACAAGACCATGAAGGGCTATGTAAACAATGGGAGATACAGAAGGTCCATTACATTAGGTGTGATATCCACTATAGTCTGTCTTTTTTGAAGACGGAGTAAAATGACATTTGATGGGTTGCCAGTTCCATAAAATTTTAAATAGTTGTTGTTAATCAATTGTGAAATGTGATAAAATTTTGCCAAAAATGGCTGACTTGTGAATGTTACGACGTTCGGCGAAAATGGCAGACTGAGCTCAAATATGTGGAATTCCGCGTACTATTGGCACGCGTGCCACCCCACTAAACACTCATACTGTATTTATTGTTCTGTGGTTGCAATTCTAATTAAAGCCAATAATAATTTATTGAGCTCATTGACTTACAAATAAATGGACGACGGGTCTAATACAAAAACCACGAAAAAAATGTCCCAAGTTAACCTATTCGAAATTTAAATTGTTATGTCATCGCAGTATCGCGCTGTCCGTAGAACAAATGAAGACTAAAGCGGAGTGTCGCGCTCTGTATACGATTTTAGCGCCTTACAAGTGCGGACCCTTTTTAGCGCGGACCCGACGTCCATATAATTGTAAGTCAATGATTGAGCTTTAAGAAAATGGGAACATAGAGGAGACACTTTTATAATAATCGCTTTTCCTTGTTTATGAATAACAAACTAGTTATATACTAACCTCTATGCGACTGCGAAGGGCTATGTGGCCTATGCGAGACGGAAGGAGACCCCATTAAAGGAGACTCATTTATTATTATAACGGCTTCTCCTGGCTCGCCGCTGATGTTCAAACTTATGGTAGGGCCGGTTGAGTTCGCGCGTTGGTGATGGTGCTCGCGGACAGAGGGTGACGCTGAAAATATTTTTTTTTCAAAACGTTTGTTTAAATGAACAGACAGACACGGTCTCCATTCCGTTCGCTCATTTAGTGTACAAAACAAAACGTGCTACTGTATGCCTAATGATAGGTACCCCCACAATATCATTCAACTTTTTTTTAATTAAGGGGGTGTCTATTGTATATTGTGTCCATTGTTAAAAAAGGGTTTGAAATGAACAAGATATTTATTTAATTTTTATTTCTTTATAATACCAAGTGACGAGATGGACAAGTCGTGCGCCTGGTGGCAAGTGACACGCCTATCCATAACAGTTGCAGTGTCACAGAGCTCTTATAAAGAGTGATTATACAGGAGACGGCAAAACTTTCTATTTATTTTAAATTTCTTATCAAGGGTGTTAATTTGGATAGTAAAGTTAGTGTGTAAATATAAAGGAAACGTGATGTGACTTAAGTCTGCAAAATTCGTATACACAATCCATATTTTGCATTTCAGTAACTTTATGCTTTAAGATACGAGTTTGAGAAACTAAGGCGACGATAAGTTGACAAGTCCCATGTGCCTGTAATTTCACCAGCACCCTTAATCTTCCTTATTTTCTGTGATAGTTATCATGATAAATTGGACGTAGTTAAGCAAAAAGAATCCAATCCACAAAATTATCAAAAAAATAGTTAAATGTATCAAACGGTTCCTAAAGTGTAACCTCTTATAGATCAGCAAAAAAAAATCCAACATGTAAACATAAATAAATATCTCTGGAGTTACATGACATTATGAGTTTTGAAAATAAAACAAGAGTGAGAAATACTTTTAAACTTCAAACGCTTCGAGATGTGGCGTTTTTTAAAAAAACCGCCACATCTCGAAAGTGACTGGATGTGCATTGGATCCTTTTTGTTTAACTACATACAGTTATCCGATTTATAAGAGATTATTCATGCTGATCACCTTAATTTTTTTACTAAAAATGACAAACAGTGAGAAATATAAATAAACAAGAAGATTATTTTTTAAATTGGATTATGACTTTTTTGAGACTGATATTTGTCACGTTTGTATACATCTCTGATACCAACACAAGGCGCGACATTGATAGCGGTAACATTTTGTTGTTCCAATTAATGTCATAAAACATGCCAAGTACAGCGCCTTGGAACCGATGTAAAATTTTGTGTCAATTGCAGTGGAGACGGCGGGACTTGGGGTGCGGAAGTCAAAGAATTCATCAGGAAGTTCGGTCGTCGGCTCTAAGATAGAGGCACAGCTCTCCACGCTCTGTATCTTACTTTATGCAACAAATTTCGTTGGCTATTCAGCGCGGTAATGCTGCCAGTATTATGGGGACTCTTGAACCAGCTAAGATTCAGAGCGGTCCTTTTTTATTGTTATAGTTAAATAAAAATGACTAACTTTGGCGAATTGCATATTTATTTTTATGCATATTGCTTATTTATAAATCAGCAACAGGCTTCGTCGCCTGTTGCTGATTTATATATGTGTCTACCTGACGAAGCCTACGTTACGGATTGACATGTAATTAATTGAGTTTTTGAATGAATAAGTTGAATTTATCTGCCTCTGTGGCCGAACGGTTACCATGCCACGCAGAGGTCCCAGGTTCGATTCCCGGGCCGGGAGAAATATTTGTATGGCCTACATTTATTTCTCTCGTGAGTTTGGGTGTAATTTGTGGTTGTCTATGTGTGTGTCCATGGCACCCGCGACACAGGGTTTCCCTAGTGCGGGGCTATGTTGAGTGTGAGCGTTATTATTATTATTATATAAAAAAAATAGCAAAGTTACAAAAAATTGCATTATAATTATCAAAATGACTTTATGATAAATAATTATCACATCGAACCTGGCTAAAAGTAACAAAATTAGGATCTTGTTAACTATATCAGGGTTGTGTATAGCTTAAGAAATATTCACCTAGTGGAGAGCCTGGAGTTGCTGGAGTCCCACCTAGCGATGACACACGATGTGGAGTGTGGCCTGCTGTTAAAAGACATTGTAATAAACACAAATAAACACCGAGTATATAGTATATAGCCAGAAATAGAGACGAAATGTCATTTAATTTGTTTGAAATCTATTCTGCCATATCATTACTGTGACAACTGCGCTCCGATTGGCTAGCCCGAGTTCGAAACAATTGACGGGTGTCGTCAACTGATTCACTTCAAATCGACCAGTTAACTTGAGCTTTGCTATGATGGACGAAAATTTAAAAATTACATATTTAATTACCGATGAAATGTGATTCCGCTTGTTTTGTTATTAGATGTTTTTCCCACACCACCGAATGGAACAGCCCCTCATTGTTAGAGATATTTATTATCTCTATTACAATAAATACAGAATATTTTTGGAATATACGGCGACCATAACTACATATAGGTCAGGCGTTGGCGCGCGTACTATTTCAGCTTTCTAATTTGTGATTTTAGCGCAAATAAGAGTTGATATTTAAAAGTGATATAAGGCCCATTTGTCTGATGAGTTGCCATGGATGGATGACCCTTATTTCGTCTCTATTTCTGGTTACAAAACTGACATTTATGTCGTTCATTCCCAGCAGTTCCATGTACTCAGTTCCATGTGGAACAATTCTAACTTAACATGTCATATCTATGCCCGTCAGATCCAAGTAATTTTAAACTATTTGTGCACCTGACTTTCCTTCCTCATCAGATCTTCAGATAGAACATGAAATATTTGTTGTACAGATGGAGTGCGGAAGAGAAATATTTTTTCTTGACATTAAGTGACAGGACGAATAAATCCTGTGCCTGATGGTAAGCGACACGCCATTCCATTACAGTTGCAATGCCACTTAGAACTTTAAAGTGCAGCGATCCGAGGGACACTGCCACTGCCTCCGTAACGTTGATACACAAAATTTATTTTTTTACTGTTTATTTTCTAAACATTCCAAAATGTAGGGTGTCTCAATTTTAGTTTTTAAATGGCTAAAGTATTTAAATACGCAAGTACTTATAGACACACAACTACAATATTATTGGAAATAACAATTAGTTGCCAATGTACTTAAATTTCAATAAATAATACGCATATTCAAGTATACTCAGTTCCGAGAAGTCCCGGTATTTGTAGAAGGGAATGTCAACATTATTCTTTAGTTTAGCTAACCTCAGTCAGCCTCAGTTCTGATCACTGATAATTATAGTTAATAAGGAGGAAAACTCACTGGGAGGGCTGGCAGGCAGCTGCGGTGAGGACCGGCCTTCGGCGCGGCGGGACGACGCCGACCTGCTGCGGGCAAACCTGTTCTCAACCTCACGAATTTAATACAACACTACGACAGATTTCAAGTGACACTTGGGCGCTTTCAAATTAGACGCTTATAGAAGCTCTGCAGTGGCGACGCAGATGTGGCAGAGGACAATAAATTTATCAAAATATATTTTAAGTTATTTCAATTGCGATAAGGCATAAATTGCAAAGCTCTCATACCGACCCCGGAGCACCTGTGGACATTTATCTCTGCGTCTCAGAGCATTGAAATTTATAACTTATTTCAATTGTAGTAGCATAAAATAATACATTATAAATAATAAATTTTATCGGCAGAGGCCTTGCCGTTTTCTGGTTTGCGTTGGCCCTAATTGTGACTGCAAAAGTGGCGAGCGCGTGTCATGACTTCTAAATATTGTAAGACAATTACAAGTAGCATTTTTATTAACAAAAAAACCGACTTCAAAAGCTCGTGGAATTACATATATTTGCCAAGTTTTATTTAAAACGGATACCGGGAAGTGCGCGAAACCGCATCCATCCCCTAGTTTGCCACCCTTTGAGATGGAATGTATTCTTCAAATTTAAATGGGACTGTTACAGAGGTACCCCCTTTCCAACACAAAAATAACACGGTCGAATTGAGAATCTCCACCATTATTGAAGTTGGTTAATTAGTAGTGGCGCTGCAGTGGCGCCACTGCACCACTCCTATAATCTAATATGAAAGCGCCCTTAGCCACCTCTTAACCTATACTAGTTAACTGATGAAAAAAAAAAAGTTAAATTTTAAACAACAATATGTTCATAGAGACAGTAACAGGAGAAAGACGCTGTAGGACCAGAATCTATAGTGTCCCCCCCCTACCAATGGTCCAGAACAACTATACACAAAGGTACAAAATCTTCACATAATAATACATGTACCACCCTTACGGTTTGTAGACAGGCGAGGGAAGCACTTCCAGCGCTCAATGCCAGTCTATCTCGAATATTTATTAAACATAAAAGACAAGAACTTCGCACTCTAACTGCTGCCTTAACGAGTCATGGCCTATACAATAAACACCTTTTCAATTTAGGTATCACAGACGTATCAGAACGGCTGCGCACATCCTACTACAATGCTCCGGCGTGGCCAACTACAGGGCGAAGTACCTTGGAGTGCCAAGGCCGCTCCCCGAAGTCTTCAGCAAACCGAGGAGGCTGCTGAGATTCCTGGAGGAGCATGGGTGGCACGAGTAGGACCCTGCACCCACCACACGCAAAATAGGTGCCTTGACGTCGAGTTGCGGGTACCAGCCCGTTACACCAAGTACCAAGTACCAAAGACAGTAACAGGCAACATAGTTCTTTATTTCCAAACAATGGCATTATAAAAAACTAACAATGTATTTGTTATGCCAAACTGTACCTGAATTGTGACCTTCTAGGCGTAATTGGCGACCCTTCGCTTATCTGACCGAAGTGAGCTGACTGGCCGTTTACCTGTGTAGGAATACAAACTGGATTCAGCGTCAAGTGTAGGCCACTGGTTTCTAACCAAGGTTAATTCTAATGTCAGAGGAAAGATGAGCTTGTGCAGATGAAAGTAGGAGGAAGGAAATTAAATTAGGAAGATAAAGTAAAAAGGATGGAGGTAAAGATTGCCTTTCATATAAACTTTAGATGTTGATTCTGTACAATGAATTCCAGATGTTTACTTAGTTGTCCAAAAAAGAAGCAACTATATTGTAGCAGTATAAGACTTACTTTTGTTTCATGTAACAAAAAAAATATTACGATGAACAAAAAATTTAAAGTTTATTAAAATGAACTACCCTAGATAATTATTACAAATGCGACTATTCATTTTTGTACTCCAAAATAGCAAATTAAGGCATTTTTCTGCGACTTTCGGGGTTTTGCGCGAGATAATTGTCACAACCATGACGTACAAAACGAAAATGGCGGACTGAGCTCAAGTATGTGGAACTTCGCATACTGTTGGCACACATACCACACAAACTAAGCACTTCTACTGTATTTATTGTTCTGTGATAGCTACTCACCCGACAGGTATCAAGCCGTTTCCTTGGCGGGTCAGCCGCGGTACTCGGAGGTCCGAGGGCTGGAGGTCTTGGTTCGTCGTCGCGCGCAGGCCTCCGTCGCTTGCGCTCCAGAAGGAGGAAGTATATCACTTTCTCTGTATTGTGGCTGTGGATGGAAGGGTTTTAATCTGTGTTATTTTATTTTTATATATTTATTGGATACCTAAGATACAAGTAAACAATTTTACTTAAATTAGGTATCACCTAGATTAATTTGCACTACTAAGTTTAAATAAAGTAATGTAAACATATAATAATTTAACTGTTTGCGATAGTCTGGCGCATGTATGTAAATAAAAGTTTGTTTAATAAGATTGATGTATTTAGATAAAATTTTTGCATAAAATAAATTTTTTATCATATTTTTATCTTTATAATAACCAGTTGGTGCCCGCGATTTTGTCTGCATAAAATAATCTACTTACTTAGTACTTCGAGTAGCCTACTGCACTACTTACTTGAAAAATTATTGGTTCTCTATACAAACTTTCATCCCCTATCTTATCCCCTTTAAGATTTTTGACAAAGTAGCCTTTATCATTCTTCTAGGTTCCATCTATCCTTTTTTTTTACAATATCAAGTGACGGGACGAACAAGTCGTGCGCCTGATGGTAAGTTACACGCCTGTCAGTGCCATTCAGTCTTAAATCGCAAAGATCTGAGGGGCGCTGCAACTGCGCCCGTCATCTTGAGACATAAGTTACTGGTACGTAAGGTACTGTAAGAATATGATTCCCAAAATATACAACTTTCGAGTTAATACACTATAGTATTAACAGTGCAATGAAATAATGCTTCCTTTTATATTCTAAATATTTTTTGAGTTGTATGGATTTCTTGAGTTATTGGTAGTTTTTGAATAAAATATTTTTTATCCATAATATTCACATATATAGAATATCTATACTTTGATTCAATACCGTGTACCTAAGTGTGGTCATTGACCCTAGCCGAACAGAATATAAAATGGACTCTTTATGAATACTTTCTTATTCTTATTATGTTGAGTGTGTGCATTATTATTATTACTTACTGTGGACTTAAAAGTTCCTGTATCAATCTGTCGCGTTGTTTGAAACATCCCAAACTACAGATGGCCTGAAATAAAAAAAATATATCTGTGTTCAATAAATAAATAAAAATTGCAATTTCCTTGAAAGAATTCTACACTGTACAATTCATTATCTGACAACATAAGGGGCTTAAAATTATAGTGTGCCTATGTAAAAAAAAATATTTTTAAATTTGCTATTATACTTGTGCAAGATTTAATGACACTGCCACTGTAAGCCAATTGATCTTTGGGACTTGTTGTTCATGGTACGTTCTCTAAGGCTTACCTGCAGTACATCAGGATCTATAGCCTCCGCAGAAGGCAGCACCCTAGTCTGGACCACTTCCATCATGGGTAACTCTTGTTCGAGTTCTCCTCGACCACCTGCCGTTACCCACGGGTGTCGTGTGATTTCTGCCAGCTGAAATGAGGATATTAGATATAATAGTCGTTAATTGTAATTAAAGGTAACGACAAAAACATTTTAAAAAGGATTGGGATTTCTGATGATCACTTGAGCAATACATAATTGTCTTAAACTGTTTAAAAAAATTTACTGCTCCAAATACAAAATTTTTCTCTTAAGGTTTTTATATACATTTCCTTATTTATCTCTCTCACAAGTACTTTACCGTGTGCATTCATTCATACCACTACAAAACAGTACATAAGTTCAGGCCAGTGGAATTATGGGTGATTAAAAATTAATATACTTACAGACATTCTCTTTTCAGGGTTTACTTCAATCATACCACGTAATAGTTGCTGGCAGTCTGGAGGCACAAAATGTGGTACATGGAACACGCCACGTTTCACCTAAAATTTTTAAAAATTCTTGAGCTTGGACTGCAGAAGGGAATGGAACTAATGGAGTACCTCTAAATAATAATTATTTTTGTTGTTATTAATCATCATATTCAAAGTACGACCGTAAAACAGGGTACATCGTTAATATTTACATAAAATGACGATTAAATATCAGATTGCAGCATTATTTCTTTATATATTTCGCTGATAAAAACATGTTTTAGAAATAGAAGAGATGTACACAAAAGACGCTCATTTCCGAAAAACAGGGCTATAAATGGCTCAGGAAGTTATCAGGTCTTGATTCGTAACACATAATGATGGTATAAAACCCAATAATATGATTGTCGATTGCAGTTTTTAGTTACATTACAGAAGAAACGGTTTGTTTACCTTTTCCAACAGTTGCCGCAAGTTGTCATCGTCGAAGGGTAGGGCTCCAACAAGCAAGGCGTACAGGATAACTCCACAGGACCATACATCTGCACGCCGGCCATCATATTTTTCACCCTACAAAATAAATAAAGATTAAAACTCACGAAGAAAAAGTTTAACTAAAACTAGGGGACAAACGCTCCTCTCTTTTTATTTGAATTTTTTTTTCTTGAGACGTTTTTGTTATTGAAATAGTGTATTATATTATGCGTTAGTAACAGATGAGATGTCTGGATGTCTGTTATGTCTAGATATTATGTCTGTGTCTGTTATTCAATTTTGTATCGTTTGTATATATTTTTCAATTTGTGTAGCGTAATTATTTATCGAAAAAGCGAAACACATTCTTTTTTCGACACAGGGGCGCGGGTTTTTAGTAGTCATGCTTTTTTTTACATGTTGAGTTTCTTAATTTTTGTTCATATAATGTTATCCAATCAATGCTCGATAAATAATAATAATAACTGTTATTATGGTTATTATCTAAAGATTGTCCCAAAATTGTATAAAATAAGATGGAAGTTCTGTAGTTTTTAATTTGTTGGATTCAAGTCTTTCAGACGAATTATTAAAAAGAATAAACAAAAAGTAGGTATTATAGAGATTTTCGTACAGTATATATGTACCTATTTACGATTAATTTAAATGGAATCTTATACATATAATGTGTCTAAAAGTTTAAAATTTTTGATTGTCCCGAAAATTGGATAATATCATTCTAAGTAGATGTTTACGTATTTATTTAAATAGATTTTTTTAACAAAATTTTTCTCAAATGTGTGTTTCCAAGAATAGCATAGCTCAAAAAGTTTTTATTTTAATTTTTGTATCTTCTTAGAATAATAACGCATAGAAACCTAGTCCGCACACGCTAAGTGAGGCAAATTGAAGCGCGCCAAAAGGGCCTACACGAGCGGGCGGGCCTTTAGTGCTCAAGGTCAACTTGCACCGCGAACAGATCAAGAATTTTAGCTAAAAATGACGAAATGTGCGGTAAATGAGTGTAAAAATACGTCAGACAAACATAAAATAGATACTAACATCACATTCCACAAGGAAGTAACGCGTTTCAACTTGTATTTTTGTATAAATGTTCACTAAAACCGAAAATTAACCTACTACTAAAACTAGCTAGCACTTGTAACAGTTCGTTTGATATGAAACTATCATTCTAGGCGTTATTAGAAGTGTATCTTCTTTTAAATGTTATGGCGCCATCAAAGTAATCGATACTTCAATTCGTTTACTTAACTATGTTTTCCATTTCGCTAACATATAAAATGGCAACATATTGCTTACAATGTCATATTCTGATTGAAATGGCAGTTATTATTCGACCAATTTTAAAAGTCATCAATGAGCGTAGTTAATATGAAAGAGAGCTCTACACGTCGTCCATTCCAAAACGAGACAGCAACACATCCTTTTACCAATACAATTCGGCCACTGTATATATTGATAATTTCGAAAGACCGTTGCATTGAATTTACCAACCGTTGCAAACGAAGAAAATATTGTTAAATACTTAAAAATATTGTTCCATAGTGTGTTATAGTGAAAATTAGACAAAATGAAGTCAGCGAAGTCGAAAACACGACTAAACGAGATACGAACACCAGCTAGAAGTCGACAAAACTTAAATGGGGAACGCGATCCCGTGCAAGTTTATTGCCGTTTACGACCGATGCAAAGGGAGACCGATATATCCTGTATGAAAATACTATCGCCTACTACGGTGCTACTAACACCTCCATCTACAGCTCTGAGTTACAGAAATGAAAATATAAGAAGTATGAAATACACTTTCAAAGAAGTGTTCGCGCCTGAGACCTCGCAACAAGAAGTGTTTGATAAAGTCGCTTTGCCGCTCGTAGAAGGCCTTATTAAAGGTAAAAATGGTTTATTATTCACCTACGGTGTCACCGGCAGCGGTAAAACGTTTACCATGACCGGGGAACCTCAAAATTGCGGCATTCTGCCTCGATGCCTGAACATAATTTTTAAAACTATAAACGATTACCAGGCTCATAAATACGTTTTCAAACCGGACAAAATGAACATGTTCGATGTTCAAAACGAAGCGGAAGCAATGTTGGAGCGGCAACAGGAACTCCACAAATTCAAAAGTGGTAAAAAGAACAATTCAAATCCGGATTTAGCCATGTCATCAACGGATATTACTAAAATCGATGGGATCAATGAAGATAACCAATACAGTGTTTTTGTCACCTATGTAGAGATATACAACAATAGTGTCTTTGATTTACTTGAAGATGGACCACCAAATACTAAACACTTACCTGTAAAGATTATACGAGAAGATGCTGCACACAACATGTATGTCCATGGAGTTACTGAAGTTGAAATTAAATCAGCAGAAGATGCTTTTAATGCATTCTACCTAGGCTTGAAGCGTAAACGCATGGCTCATACAAATTTGAATGCGGAGTCAAGTCGGAGTCACTCGGTCTTCACAATCCGACTAGTGCAGGCACCAGTAGATGAAGTTGGTGAAGCAGTTATTCAAAACAAGAAGTTCCTTTCCATTAGTCAGCTCAGTCTAGTTGACTTAGCAGGCAGTGAACGGACAAACAGGACAAAAAATACTGGACAGCGACTGCGAGAAGCTGGTAACATCAATAAGTCTTTAATGACCCTCCGAACTTGTATGGAAATGTTGAGAGAGAATCAAGTTAATGGTACCAACAATATGGTGCCATACAGAGAATCAAAAATCACACACTTGTTCAAAAACTTTTTTGAAGGAGAAGGGCAAGTCCGAATGATAGTGTGTGTCAATCCAAGAGCTGAAGACTATGATGAGACACTTCAAGTTATGCGATTTGCAGAAATGGCTGCTGAAGTGGAAGTAACCAAACCACAAATACATGATGTTGCTGCTTCTATAGGACTTATGTCAGGACGGCGCAAGGCTAATCGACTCTTCAACACTGCTAGGGATCATATAGCTAGACCGGAAGCTAAAGATCTGGAGTTGGATTTAGGTCTTGTTTATAGCCTAGGACCTGACTTTCCAAGTCTTGAGTTAAATAGTTCTCAGGCTTCGCATATTATTAAGGAACTAGTGGCACATTTGGAGATGCGATTATCAAGAAGAGAAACTTTGAAAAGGAGTAAAGCACTTAAGGACGAAAGGCTACGTTCAGCACTCTTGGAATTGGAAAAAGAGTCTCTTGAGGTCCGGAGTGAAAATTCTTCACTACGAGCTCAACTGGCTGCATCCGAGAGACGTGTCAGGGCTTTAGAAGAACGTCTAACTGTTACTGAATCTGCTTCCATATCTCACCAACGAAAACTTGCTGAAATGACCGAATACACATCCACTCTAAAACGTGAGTTACAAGAAAAAGACCTACTTCTCAGCCAATACAAGCTTGAGAAGGAAAAGCAGAAGAAGATTCTAGAACGCAAATACAATAATAAAATTATGGTCCAAACTGAAAAAGCTAAGGAAATTATAAGCGAGAAAGAGCGACTACGCAATGTCGTTGAAGACAAAGAGAACCGTTTGAGAATCATTGCTGAAGCCCTAAACCAGAATGACCGTGGTGATAACATTCATAACTTAGATATAATGCGAAGTGATATGGCAGCTCAGACTAGTGTTCGTGACTTTACCCCTGGGTCGACTCCGAGAGCTCTACCAGCCCATCTTTTAACTCCTTTCAGTCAACAGACTAGTCACACACCAGCATCTTCCCGTAGAGGAGTTGCTGTGGCTAATCCGAGGCACCGTAGATCCTTATCAGCTGATGGGAAAGGCTGGGTTGAACACGCTCCAAGCAAAATGGTACCAATGGGTACAGTAATGAAACCTAGTATAAGCAGCTCAAAAGTGGTCAAAAAGTTAACCAGTGTCAAAGATATTGCAAATTCGAAGACTTCCAAATATTGTTTGATTTCTCAAGAACAAGATACAGATGGTGAGCTGGAAACTAAGTTGTACAAGGGAGACGTCGTCCCCACTTGTGGTGGAGGTGCTCAAGTGATATTTAATGATGTAGAAATGTTAAAACAGTTCTCTCCAACTCGAGAAAGCTCGGGTACAAATAGAGCATCAGCATCTTGTGCTAGACACTCTGGAAAGAGACGGGAACCAACTATTTCTCCACCACAAACACCTTCGAATACGAGCAAAAAACAACGAGTTGACGAAGATTAAATAGGTACTTTGTATTATAGGAATTTCCAGATTACAAGAACGCCAAATACCCAGTGATACAAAGCTTTTGGGGCTTATAAGATATAAAGCCTATATCTAAGTAATATTTCGGATTATATATGATGTTTAATGGACAATAACCTCTATTGACAGTTAAGTAACATATGTTTCACTACAAACATATTGGATATGGCAGTTGTTAAGCAGAGAGAATAAATATTGTCCTGCAACTTTTACATATTCAATTTTATATATATTATTCACTTTTCATACAAACTGATGGTACAGGGTTTCTGTTTCCAAAAATGAAATTATAATTGTATCTCTTTAACCAACTTTGTTTTTGTATCTGGAAATCTTTATCAATATTGTTTAATATATTAACATTACTTGATTGTATTGCATATATTTAAAACTTGAACTATCATTACATTTAAACTTTTAAAAGTTTGGTAAACCATTTTCTTTGACTGTGATTTGAAAGCTATTTGCTCTTAAAGTACAATTTTGTAAGAATAACTAGGAACAATTACTATTATATTCAGATCTGTTATTACTTTAGATTAATTTTTTATAAATCATTGTTTGTCTACTTAACAAATAATGTTCATAGTTTAGGGCGTCTTCAAATTAGATGCATATAGCATAGGGATGCATTGACATTGCAGCCGCCCTGATACCAATTTTCGTACAATACATAGCGCTTTTATCATCGAGTATATAACCAGAAATAAAGACGAAATGTCATGTAATTTGTTTGAAATCTATTCTACCAAATCATTACTGTGACAACTGCGCTCCGATTGGCCAGCCTGAATTCGAAAGAATTGACGGGTGTCGTCAATTGTTTCACTTCAAATCGACCAGTTTAACTTGAGCTTTGCTATAATGGACGAAAATTGCAAAATTACATATTTTATTACCGACGAAATGTGATTTCGTTTGTTTTGTAATTAGATGTTTTGGGATTTTTCCCACACTACCGAATGGAGCAGCCCCCATTGTTAGAGGTATTATCTTTATTACAATAAATACAGAATATTTTTGGAATATACGGAGACGTACCTACAGGTCAGTTGTTGGCGCTGTACTATTTCAGCTTTCTAATTTGTGATTTCAGCGCAAACGAGAGTTGATACCTATTTAAAAGTGATATAAGGCCCATTTTCCTGATGAGTTGCCAGGGATGGGCGGTCCTTATTTCGTGTCTATTTCTGTTTATATACTCGATAGGTACTAACGTCTAATTTGAGAGCGCACTTAATGTATCTTCCTTTTATTTTGTTGTTACACTACTGTAGTAATGTGGCACGCACAATTGTTTTTTTTTTTTGTATTAAAATCAATTTGTTGCTTTTTTCATAATGTGAAAAAATAATTTTTAATTTGGAGAAATAAAATTTCTACGAGCCTTCTCTGTTAAGTAGCCAAGTGTTAATTGTACTTAATTATGATTAGTTGATTTAATTATGCTCATTGGTGGGATTTGGTATATACTTTAGTTTGATAGTTATTTTTAAGCTGTAGATTTTTTATAACCGTATTTGTATGGAAAATTGTATGGTACTTCCAAAATAGTTTGCGAATTGTAATATTTCGTGTGGAAGTTTATTAAATACCTTGCTAATAATGTTTTAATTTTATTTTTAAATACAGTGTGTGGTGTTCTCTGCAGTCTGCGTAGTCGGTTTTAGTCGTAAATTATTTTTTTTATACATCCTAGCCTTTGATGTAGAATAATCAATGTCAACAAACAAAAACATGATTTTTATGATTTTCCGAAGATTGTATTACAGTTACTAATTTATTATTAAGTAACGTAATACATATACATAATATAAACTGCCTCACATAGGTCCCGGGTTCGATTGCCGGGCCGGGAGAAATATTAGTATAGATTACATTTATTTCTCTCGTGAATTTGGGTGTAATTTGTGGTTGTATGGCACCCGCGGGGTTCCCTGATGGGGGGCCTTAAAAAAAATTATCACAATTAAATTATTTTTCCCCGAAATTCAATTAGGCTCTGATAATAATAACCTTGAAGTCATGTCCGCGATTAATTTCGTCCAATAGAACTTGGAAATCACCTGTAAATCAAGGTTGCAAACATACCAGTTCTACTACTCGAACTGGAATGTTTGCAATCTCTCCTTGATGGTAATTCTAGTTCGGAATCGGAAATTGATGCTGGATGACATAAATTAATATAAAAAATCTTACATTTATTTTGTTTTTTTTTGTTTATTTTGTCTACCATTACCTACTATCTTTTATTTTATCTAGCAGTACCTGAGTATTAATAGGTATCAAAAACTGAATTATTTTCTTAAGAAATCATACAGGTTGATAAAAAACCGATGACCATTTTAAAATTTTTTTTCAAATACTTAACAAATAAATAAGTTATGACGTCTCAAAGTTTTCCGAAAAATTGTGAACAATATTGGCACCCGATTATTAGCAGACGCCGTTGCTATAGCAATAAGAACGGTGTGAGGCAGTGGGCGGAGTCAGCGCGCGAATTCATGTATTTAACAGATAACAAAGTATTAAACTAACGCGCGATGCGTTAGCGCAGGTCTGTAATCGCGCGCGGTGGGACATGTTGGCGCCTAGGCGTCTAGACAACTCGGCGCCTAGGCGTCTAGAGAACTCGGCGCCGATCGCTTAATTTTGTTTACTATTTTGAGGTAACCACGCGCTAGAAATTATAGGTAAATATTAACATAAAAAAAATGGGATTTTTTTATTTCACTAATGTGTTCATTACTGAATCTTATGCACAGGAAACAAAAATGGCCAGTGATTTTTTATCACCCTATATATCAATAGGTAGTTACTTTGCAAACATTATAATCACGGAGAAAGTATTTATGTGGTCTGTGTTTGTATTATTCGGCCAGGTAAGAGTGGTTGCAAAAGCCGCCGCTTTTAGCAGAGATGCAAACACGCGTTCGTGAAACTCGCGATTGCATAATTACACTTGCGATTATTTATAAGCGATCGTCGATGCAAACGCGCGACTACATCGATATGATACAAACGCGCGATTGCATAAATAATAAATCCCAAGTGCAGTGATGCAATCGCGCGTTTGTATCGTTGCAGTCGCGCGTTTGCATAGCTGCTTAAAGTCGCGCGTGTTTGTAAAGATAGACGAAAGGTAAACGGAAGCGTCAATTTCTCCTCGCTACGCAAGAAGGCCCGCGAGGTCGTTGGAATGCTCGAGCATTCGCGATCTTTCTCTGCGCCGTAATGCTGTAAGTAGTGTGTCGTCGACATTTGACGTCACACTGCGCCTGCCTTCGCGACACATCTCGCGGATTCGCCAGGCGTGGCCAACGGCAGCTGCGGAATTCTCGCGAATGTGCGAGCATTCTCGAGTATGCCCGAGAAGTCCGCGGAATACGCTCGACATGACTTTTGCCTTCTATCTAGTTTGTACGTTATATAATTGACCATAAAGTTCATTACACTATGTACAATATCATCTAAACAATATAAATTGAGCCTTAGTTGTCAGAGCTAACCTAAATAATGATCATTGACAAAATGTTGTTTTCCTATACCATCACTACTTTCCTAGCAATATCTTGTTATTAAACAACCTATGTCGAATTTGGCTTGAGTATAAGTTTAGTTGTATGGGTGTTTTATTGACCACGCTGAAATAATTTAATTTCAAAAGTAACATTCTTTAATCTCGAGAACCACAACATCTATTATGCAATAAGATAAACCCTATCCAAAATAGATTTATCTGAAATTCATTGGGCGGTCTACCTGCATAAGTCCGTTTGCACACGTGCATAATCAGTCGCAAGGGAGGTTTAACATCATCATATATCTTTTGAATCGTCGCCCTATAATATGAACTTACCCGTATCACCTCGGGGCAGGCATAATGTGGGCTTCCACACGAGGTCTCGAGGAGCGATCCCGCGGGCTGCAGCGACGCCATGCCGAAATCAGCTATCTTTATGTTGTTCCGCTCGTCCAGGAGGAGATTCTCCGGTTTCAGGTCGCGGTGGCTGGAAATTCAGATAATTCATAAATCTAAGCTACATGTAGGAACTTTGTATAGAATGAAACGGATTACACTCCGATGAGATAACAGCACTCTGGATGTTCAAACAGTAACCTTTGAACATTCCACTCAGCAGGCGAATGACCCAAAAATTGATTGTAAGAAAGTGCTTCAGCAGCATTCTACTCAGCAAGACCCGAAAGACAGGCTACAAGAAAGTCCTTCAGTGGCACTTTGCACCGACGAAACACTTAGATTTTTAGAGATAAATTTAGTATTAGTGTGCGTAATCGTAAAATTGTATATATAGCAATTAATTTATTATTAAAATCAATCTTTCAACAGCAGTCGAGTCTAATTTATCTCCTGCTAGCTTCCTCTCACTTTAGCCTAGAACCCTTAGCGGTCAGTAGATCGGTCTTGTGAGTCTGTGACACCGGTAGTGAGAGAATCCATCCCAATACACCATTTATTTCCTTTCCGCAATCATCATCTTCATGGCGGCCGTTTGTTATCCAATCTTGGATGTAGGCCTCTTCCCTCTTCTTCCACACTTGGCGATCGTGTGCCCGACTCGTCCAGTCCCGGAGTGTCGTCGGATGTATATGTAGGATAGGGGTCACGTAGCGTTTGTTTTTTTTGCACCGAATGCAGCCCACGTCTGAGTGATCCGTCGTTCTACTTCCGCTGTTTGGTTTTCAAAGCCCAGTGTAACCTTATGTCCTAAGTGTAGTCAGATATCCTCTACGTATTTATATATTTATTTAGCACACTTATATGGTTAGGGCTAGCGCCTTTTATTTGTTATAATATCAAGTGACGGGACGATCAAGTCGTGCGCCTGATGGTAAGTTACACGCCTGTCCATAACAGTTGCAGTGCCGAAAGGTCTTAGAAAGGAGACATAAGGTGACCATGTGTCGGTAATTTTACCACCACCCTTACCCTTCAACACCAGAACGCAGTGATGCTAACATTACTGCTTGGTGGCAGAAATAGGTAGGATGGTAGTAGGTACTTCCCTGGACGAGCTCTTTCACTAGGAACTCTACTACTACTATAAGTAGGTTAGGGTCTGTTAGGGTACTTAGGGTGATAGGCACACACCCAAGGGCGCTAGGGTTCTTCTTGCCCTTCCTTATTAAGTTCAATACTGTACAGTTTGTCGGCGACTACAGACACCACACCTGGCCCCGTAGCATGGCTACGCATGATAGTCGCGGTGCGTGCGATAAAATTGAAATAAGCGCGCACTATTGGTTGTCTCAATCAGATCTAATTTCGATAGCCAATAGCGCGCGTTTATTTCAATTTTACCGCGCGTGTCGCGACTATTATGCGTAGTTATGCTACGGAGGCAGTTGTATATTTATGTTTTTGTCACGGAAGTGAATAAATAATTTATCTATCTAAAAGTTACTGAAACTATAAGACAAAGTAAATATTGACAAGCTCGGTGGCCCAACAGTTTATACTATGGGCGCTGTATAAGGAGGTATTGGGTTCCTGGTAAAACAAAATTGGGAAACTTTTCTAAATGAGTTCTGGTCTGAGTGTTTAGGCAAGTGCCCCTGAGCGAATCCCGTTGCTCTGCTACCCATAGCATCAAACTGTTAACGTTTGAGATGGCCCACCACTGATATGTTTTGAGTATTTCTATTTAATACGTAAGAGGTGACCTACGGGAAGAAATACTTGCCCGTGATCTACCCAGGTGAAGCAGTCAGGTGGTCCACTGGCAAGAAGTAGGACTTCCCTAGTTTGAGACCAGGTAATTGGCATACACATCAATGCGTTTTATATGTGTGCAAGCCCACCTCGCGTCGTGAAAGGCGTGTGAGACGACCAGCGCTGTGCAACGTGAAATTATACGAATGTGTGCATCCGTACACGGAACGCGGCGGGCGCGCACACATACTAGCCGCGCTGCTACGTTTGTTTGAAGTTATCATACTTATCTTATTATATACGCAATTATTGTGGTTGTCTGGCACATTATTGTTTACTTACCAAATAGAATGACTGTGACAGAAATCTAACGCCGAAATGATCTGCCGGAAGAACCGTCTCGCTTCCTTCGGCGTCAGTCGACCCTTCTTCACCAAGTAGTCGAAAAGTTCACCGCCACTTACGTGCTCTAGGACTAGATATCTGTAAACATTAAACTGTATTAATCGCAGACCAAATATTAATGAACTGACTTCGAGGACGTGAGAAATTAAGAAAGCATTTGTTTTATTAAAAACCGTATTTTTTTTAATGTCACGATATTTAACTACCATAAGATTTTTTTTGTGAAATTACTCCATTAGTTTGTTATAATTATTAATAATATACGGTTACGTACACACGCCAGCACATCAAGCTACACATTGACGTATCTTGTTCCGTTACACTGGAGGCGATTTTCGAACAAAAATGTGTAGTCTGATGTGCCGTTGTCCGTACATTGAACGTTGATTTGCTGCATTGACATGGTCTAGTTGTAGTTTTATTTTTCAGTAGTAAGATGTGCTAGTTCTAATTATTTTGTTGATGTGGTAAATCGTATTATGACCTTGTATTATATTTTTAAGACAGTTACCAACATCAAAACATTTAATATTAACATTTGGATTTTAGTTTAGGAAGCGATTTAGCGTTCAAAGCCATCATGGCGTCTGTTGGTAAGCTTCGTTAGTTGATAGAGAGGGCTAATGTGTAATTAACTGCTATATGTACGCCTTCTCAATGTAGTTGGTGAGACCCGCTTGTGGGAGGCCAACTACACCGATTCGTTACCACAGGGAGTAACACAGCACTAACAATCCGGCTCGAAGGACCAAAACGATGTAGGGGCCAATACTACTCTATAGTATATACGCCTAATTGTTTAAATAGATAGATAAGTTCAGTTATAAAAGGTTTATTGGTAAAGATACAAGCTAGTTGAGGCTGTGTATCTATTACGTTGTATTTAAGTTGATATATTATGTCTAAATTGATCGAATGTTCGTTAAACTCTAGTTTAATTGGCTACTTAGGCGCACAAGTAAACAAACGGCCGCGGAAGTACAATGCAAACAGCGGAACAAACCGTACAACGTATTTAAAACATTTAAAATACTTTATTTTACATTTTTATTTACAATTAAACAACTTTTATTTATATATTATATTACTTTTACATTTATAACATTATTTAATTCCGTCAATTACTCCGAAAACACCCTCGTGTTATCCTGTAAGGACAGTGTCGCGATTCCGCCCTTACAAATAACAAAGATTGAATACCGTACAAATATTCATTCTATTCAGTGTGCTTCTTGCAGATCTTTGTTTCTATTTTTTAACATGGAGTGGTTATACTCAATGGTTTTTGCCGTAGCGCCATCTTTGAGAAATTTATTTCTTCACTCAGAGAGTTAGTACTGTGGGAGCGTAGCCGTGGTTTATAGCGCAGTGAAAGGTACTGTTTAATATTTAAACGAGGAATATCATAATGAAAGATTTGCTGTGAGCATTCAGCTAGAAGATTTGTCCAGAACTACCTATGTTCCTTTGATAACAACCTTCCTTTTTTATCTAGTTCTAAATACAAAATAATAATATAGGGAACGTGGGGTATTGGGAGCCCGCGGGTAATGAGAGCCGTGTTAAACTGGACTTTCTCAATGCTCGTATTCGTGCAAACGGCACTCCTATGTATTCGTTAACGTTCGACAATGTTCGAGTCGCGTTTAGTCGTATGAGATGGTTGAGTGTTTTTTTCGCTCCGCGCTTATAAAATTTGCTAAATTTCATCATCCCAGATAAGCATTAAAATGCATAGATACTACATTGTGTTTACTGTAGCTATGTCACCATATCTATCAAATTTTAGAAGTTATGCTTGGAATCACAATGAAAATATAAATGGTTCGGTCAGAGTGATTGGAAGATACACGTGCTCTTTTTTTTGCTAAAGATTTTGTTGACCCTTTTCTTACTCTCTGAACTGCGAATTTGTTTATTTCTGTAGATTTCCCATATCTGTGCGTGCCGTTTATTGTGTTGTGTGTGTTTTGCGTGGTGAAGGTAAATTATATGTAGTTTTATGTCTGATATGGAGGTTGAAGGAGGCGGTACTGACCCTCCGGATATATCCGGGGAGTCGGGGCCGCTGCCGCCATCCCCCGACCTTTTTACGTCGATTACTCCTACAATATCTGGTAGTAAACGGAAAAGCTGTATAGCAGAAACTGATAACAGTACCCCAAAAAAACTCGTTACTGAATTTGTAACCCCATCGGCATCTATACAAACCATTTATACGCACCCCAATGCCGAGGAAAAGAAAATTTATTCTACTAATGATAAAGGTCCATTTGTAGTTCAAGTCTCACGTTTGGAGTCTGCCCCAGATAGTGGTTTAACACTAAGACCTGTCAAGTTTGGCCAATTTCTATTCAAAAATAAAATTAAAAATATTATAAATGGCAGCCTGAAGGCTGTTGGTCGCAATAGGCTGTCAATGCAATTTGCTTCAGCACATGAAGCAAACAATTTTGTACAAAATCCAATCCTCGGTCAGGCGGACTACAAGGCTATCATCCCCACCCACATAATTACCCGCATGGGAGTAATCAGAGGTATACCAAATGACCTCACAATGGACGAACTAGTAGAGAGCCTAGTCTTACCTTCAGGAACTGGCGATATCATTAAAGCCCGCCGTCTAAATAGAAAGGTGTCACACAATGATACTACTGAGTGGATCCCCACTCAATCAGTCGTAGTCACTTTCTCTGGCCAGTCCTTGCCACAGCATGTTTACTTGTTTTACTCCTCTCTCCCTGTGGAAAGCTATCTCCTCCCCACCATCCAATGCTTGAAATGCTGCCGCTTTGGCCACGTCAAAGCTCAATGTCGGTCCAAACCTCGGTGCTATAAATGTGCCCAACCCCACTCTGGGGAAACATGTAGTGTAACCACCCCAACATGTTTGTACTGTTCAGCTTTGCACCAATCTAACGACAAAAACTGCCCCGAACTATCAAGGCAAAAGTCAATAAAGCTTGTGATGTCACAAGAAAAAGTCTCTTACTTAGAAGCCTCTGTTCGCTTCCCGGCCGTCAGACGGTCTTTCGCCGACGTTGCATCTACATGCACACATATACCATCTGACTCATTGTCCTTTCCACAACCCTCCCGTCCAGCCACCACTTCATATAGAAAAACCGTAACAACAAACCAGAAACCAAAGCCACCCCGCCAAACCTCAGGCTATGACAACCAAACCCACATGGAATTAATCGCAACTCCCTCTTCCTCTTTACCTAACGGCTCCGCCTTATTAAATAGGTCTAATACACCAGATAATGACAACTTCCTCGATTTACTACTTTCTACACTTTTAAATATCTTATCCCGTTTTGATGACACTGATTTACCGTCCCACGTGCTTAATAAACTTTCCCCTATCGTCAATAAATTTTACAATGGATCTGTACCTTCTGCAGTGGAACTGTCGGAGTGTTAGACCTAAAAAACCTGATCTCATATACCTTATAAATAAATATAAACCCGTTATCATCGTCCTCTTGGAGACGTGGCTGGTTCCGGGATCCTTTTTCCGTATCCCGGGCTATACATGTGTCCGAGAGGATCGTGCAGATGGGTACGCAGGTACTCTAATCTTAATAAAACACTCAATTATTTTCCATAAAATTTCCCTCCCTGACCACAATACTAATGAAATTAATGCTGTTGCAGTCAGGGCTTTTAATATCTCATTCATGTCTGTCTATATTCCCCACCCACATCACTCCCTCATTCCTGAGCTTAATCTATTGTTTTCTAGTATTACCTCCCCTCTCATGATCTTTGGGGACTTTAATAGTCACCACACTGCTTGGGGTTCCTATAAAAATGACACATTCTCCTATCTTTTATTAGACATCTTTGATGAGTTTAATATATGTTTCCTCAACGATGGATCTCCGACACGTAGATCTTTCCCTCTCCAGGATACAAGACGAGCTGTGGACATTACTTTGTGCTCTCCAAGCCTAGTGCCCAGTTCTTCTTGGAGGACTCTTCCATATACTTTCGGAAGTGATCATTTCCCCATACTCGTTTCTGTAACAAGCAGCTGCACTCCATCGAAGCAACACTCTTCTCTATTAAAATTTAACACGTCTAAGGCTGACTGGGACAAGTATGGTCAATGTCTGGATTTAGAGCTACAGTCCCTGCCCAGTGTTGGGGATTTATCTCTTCAAGAAACCTATTCCAGATTTGTAGCATCAATCAATTCTTCCGCAATGGCCTCTATCCCCCTTAAAAACTCACCTCGGAGCCTAATCTCTTCCCCTCCATGGTGGGATCACGAGTGTACTACTATTGTTACTAAACGAAAAGAAGCTGAAATCCAGTATAACAGCTCTATGACCACAAATAACTTTTTACACTACCAGAATGCAGCGGCCCAAGCTAAACGGCTTCTTTCAGAGAAGAAAAAATCTGGTTGGTTGCGGTTTTGCGAAACCATTTCACCCCGTTCTCCTCCTTCTATCATTTGGAAAAACATCAAAAGATTTCGCTGTTCTCAACGCAATAACGATCCCTCCAGCTTCGATCCTTCATGTTGGCTCGATGGTTTTGTGAACAAGCTATGCCCTCCATGGGTCCCCAGTCAAGAGGAGGCTTCTGCATTTGCTGCCGCCTTGGCTTCTCCAGATCGTATGAATGACCCATTCTCGTTCTCAGAACTGCTCCTAGTTTTGGACCAACTTAAGGACTCCTCCCCAGGAGTAGATGGAATACCATATTCCTTCTTGAAAAATGCGAGGACTTCTGCTAAGATGACATTTTTAGAAATTATTAACTCCATATTCCTCTCAGGGTATCCTCCGGAGGAATGGAAGACGCATGTGGTTATCCCTATCTTGAAACCAGGCAAAAATGCTACAGACTCTTCCAACTATCGTCCCATTGCGTTATCCTCTACCCTAGCGAAAATCATGGAACATCTTATTAAAAATCGGTTGGAGTGGCTCTTGGAAAATAGAGATATTTTAGCTAAAAGCCAGTTTGGTTTTAGGAAGGGTAGCGGCACTATGGATAGCATAAGTCTCCTGGTCTCTGATATTCGCCTGGCCTTCTCAAAGAATGAGTCTCTGATTGGTGTTTTCTTGGATATTTCCGCTGCTTATGATAGTGTGATTCTTCCCCTGCTCAGGCAAAAAATGCATCAGCTGAGCATCCCGGTAAGATTGACCAATTTCATTTTTAATCTCTTCTCGTGTAGGACATGCTTGTTTCGTTTCCAAGGAAACTTTGTCGCATCAAGGAGCGTCTGGAGGGGCCTTCCGCAAGGATCTGTTCTCAGTCCTTTGCTGTACAATATTTATACGTATGATCTGGAGAGATCAGTGAACAGTTTTTGTAGTATCCTCCAATATGCTGATGATCTGACTATTTATGCCCACGGCTCGTCACTGGATGACATCGGTCTCCGTCTGAATACTGCTTTACAGTACTTAGGCGATTGGCTAACTGACCATGGTCTTTCTTTGTCTGCCCCTAAAAGTGGTGTAGTGGTTTTTTCCCGGAAAAAGTTTACCCCACAAGTTCCAGTCAATATCCTAGACCAGCGTATAACAATCTTTGACAATTTCAAATTTCTGGGGCTCATACTAGATTCCAAATTGACGGGCGTCCCTCATTTAAACTTTATTGCCAAAAAGTGTGAGACTAACATTAATATTCTCCGCTCCCTGTCAGGCACTTGGTGGGGTTCCCACCCATTCTGTCAAAAAATATTGTACAATGCCATAATCCGTAGTCACTTCGACTACGGCTCGTTTTTATTGGAACCGTGTCATAAAACTGCCCTCAATTTGTGGGACAAAATCCAATCAAAGTGTCTCCGTCTCATCATTGGAGCCATGAAGTCTACACCAATAAATGCTCTCCAGGTTGAGTGTGTGGAACCCCCTCTCTTTTTAAGAAGGCAGTTTCTCGCTGATAGATTTTTGTACAAGGTGGCGCAACTATCTCCTCACCCTCTTCTGGCCAAGCTTCACGAACTGTCTGATCTAACTAGATCTTCTAAATATTGGCAAATCAAAGATATACCCTGCATTCTTAAAAGTTACCACAAATTTATCAAAATCAATTCTCCCGTTTTCCAATGCGCTAAAAATCCCCTTTTTTCTTGTCTTTATGATGTAATAATATTTAAACCTGAGATAATCTTGGACTTTGGTATTTACAAAGATTCCCCTGCTGCAGACAGACAGTTTAATAAGGCCTTGGCTAAGGACTGGCAGGGCTGGTTGACTATGTATACGGATGCTTCCAAGCTGGCTGCTGATGGTTGTGTCGGTGCGGCTGTATGGATCCCAAAATATGAAATTATTCTGAACTGTAAATGCCCATCTCAGGCATCAATATTCACAGGAGAATCTACTGCCCTACTTGAAGCTCTCAGTTATGTTGAATCTCACAAACTGAACAAAAGTATAATTTTTTCAGACTCAAAAAGCTGTTTACAGGCTATTCTGGCAAACCAATTTGTTAGTAAAAGTAAATTCCACAATATCCTGAAGATCAAGGAGGTCTTGTATCAATGCCATAGTAATAACATTCAGGTTGTATTGGCGTGGATTCCAGGTCATAGCGGGATCCAAGGCAATGAAACCGTAGACATACTGGCGAAAAACGCTATCCAAACAGGTTGCCTTAATCATTATAGGACATATACCTATGATCTCCTGCCTTTAGCTACCAATGATATGTTTTCCTCATGGAGCAATGAGTGGAATAAAATCAAGCTTATCAAGGGCAAGTACTATGCTGATATCCAAATAAGTATCCCCAAAAAACCTTGGTTTTTTAACCTTAAAAGATTCAGTAAATCTATAACTTCTACGATATGCCGACTTCGCCTTGGTTATGCCTGCACCCCGGTCCATCTGGCAAAACTTAGAATACGGGATAACTCAATTTGTGAATGTGGCCTAGATGAAGGTACCCCAGACCATATATTTTTCAGCTGCCCTTCCAGAACTTGTCCCATCTACGATAGTCTTCCACCGTCCATTCCGCGTCCCGTAAATTTCCAGTTTCTGCTATATGTCTTTTCAAATCCTCTACTGAAATTAATTACTGATTTTATTAGTATTAACAAACTTAAATTATAACACTATTTATTTTTATTTTATTTATATTATTAATGGTGATGGTACCTATATTGTGTCGTGTTGTATTGTTTCAGAATTGGAATAGACTAAAGAGCAGCGTTAAATGTTTAAACATTGGAAAATAAATAAAAGTGTAACTCCCATGACTGACTAGACATTGGCAAAATTCTAAAAGAGAAGCCATCCTTCTTTTTAAAAATAGAATAGAAAATATAAATGTTTTTAGCATTGACTTACAATTATATGGACGTCGGGTCCGCGCTAAAAAGTGTCCGCACTTGTAAGGCGCTAAAATCGTATACAGAGCGCGACACTCCGCTTTAGTCTTCATTTGTTCTACTGACAGCGCGATACTGCGATGACATTACAATTTAAATTTCGAATAGGTTGACTTGGGACATTTTTTTCGTGGTTTTTGTGTTAGACCCGTCGTCGATTTATTTGTAAGTCAATGGTTTTTAGTCTTTTATTCCTTTTTCAATTCGATATTACGCGGGTAATGAGAGCTATTTTCCTCCTTATCCCATTGATGCATTGCAATATTCACTGCATATTCCGTTAACACTTTCTTGTTTATTTTCATTACTTTTTAACTTATATATTTTATTACTTTAATTTTTTTTCAGACTGATTATACATATATAAATGCTCCGGGATTTTACCGGCTCCCATTTCCCGTTCTGTGACGTAATGAGAGCGAATGACGTGTTTTAGTTTTTCTTTTTTAACTACATATTTTATTTTAGTTTCATATTTTCTCTGTGATTATCTAGTACCCAGATACGTGAAGCGTACGTTCATAACTAATAAAAATTTAAATTGCATTTATGACTTTTATTGTAAATTTTCCTTAGTAGGTGCCCATTCCCCCACGCTCCTCTAAAAACAGTACCATTAAAACTACCATCGCAAAGCGATGGGCGGGTCGAGTTATTTAACTCGAGTTACTCCCACAACGAGTTAACTGGAGCTACTTTTTGTGAACTTGAGCTAGCTCGGTGCGGTTCCCGCCGACTCGATACTTCATTTATACAGCGCGTACGTAACAAGTAACATAAGTAGGTGTATTTGGATTGTGGTGTTCCGATTTATTCTTTATTTGCATCAACCATAATACAGTATTAGGATGGAAAAACTTAAATCTAGGTTACAGTTCATTATGGAATCTGAAGGGCACAGCAAAAACTTACGATGAGCCATGGCAGAATAACAGTGAAGGCTAGGTAATTAGCATAGTCCTCTGATGCTATATCATGGACACTTTTGACATGCTTTTGTTATTTCTTATTTTAACTTGAATTCATTTTCATTAATTTTTTTTTCAATTTATGTGTTTTGCATGTCAAATAAAGCCGCTTTTATTTTTATTTTTTTAACTCTTCAAGGTTATTTTGTATTTATTAACTTTTCAAGGCATGTGTTTTAGGTACGAACCATACCTTTCCTGTACGTCTGACGCACTATGGGCAGCTATCGACGATGGCAAGCATTATAGTGTACGCCATATGATACGATAAGGATGCGCATATGCTGGCGAATGTGCCGCAAATGCACCTGTTTGCGAAAGGTTCACGAGCTGCACAAGTGCATCTCACGCCACATTAACATGTATTTACCTGTACGCGCGCAGCGTATATGCAGGGCATTTGCCTGATCTGTACACAGCCTAAGAGTGCAATTTACTAATGGTCGTCTTTTAACTGCAATGGAAAACATAATGATGGAGCTTGCATGTAGGAGGTCCTCACTCTTTGCGTCTGGCCTAAAAACCTCTCCAAAAGCAGTTTCTAAGCTTTTTTTATAACGCACACACTCAACATAGCCCCGCACTAGGGAAACCCTGTGTCGCGGGTGCCATGGACACACACATAGACAACCACAAATTACACCCAAACTCACGAGAGAAATAAATGTAACCGTTCTGGTAACCGTCCGGCATGGTAACCGTTCGGAAACGGAGGCAGTTGCGAAATGCATAGAATGAATAGATTGGTTACTTACAAATATTTTTTATTTTCATAAACATCTGAAAGTCCTAACACGTGCGGATGTTCGATCAGCTTCATTATTGCTATTTCTCGCTCCACCTGGAACATTAAATGATTCAATTAGAATACAGCGAGCAGTGCTTACGTATCGGGAGGCAATTGTGATTAATGACAATTAGATAGCATATAGTTACTGTAGAGATAAACTAGGTATCTTGCGGGTGGTGGAAGCAAACTGAATTAAGAAAGGGCTTTTAATAAAGGGAATAATGTAATAAATAAGCTTATATATTCTGGGCCAGCTCGTTCCATCGTAGACCCTTATCCCATCTTTGCCCCAGTAGGTACTAAAGTGTCAAGTGGTCAAGAGCAAGTCAATTTATTTAAAAAAAAAATCACAAGAAACTGGACGCTTTAGGGAGGTGGATTTGGTACCATTTTGAAGAATCTCATGTCATGACCGATTTATAAATGTAGAGGTAATTAATACACTGAGAACTACTTAGAAAACCGACCTCAAAAGTCATTCATCCCCTAGTTTGCCACCCTTAGAAGTGGAATATTTTCTTTATATTCCATTTTAATAATTATAGAATTAGTAAGAATTAGTAATTATTAAGAATATTAAATTTAAATGGGACCACTAGAGAGGTACTCTCTTTCCAACAAAAAAAGAATCATCAAAATCGGTTTATAAATTTAACGCGTAACATACATTAAAAAGAACATACAGTCGAATTGAGATGCTATGGCCCCGGGCGACACAGCAATTATTGCTTTTTTTAAATTAGAAAATAAATTCCACTGTTGAGAAAACGATATCCTGAACAACACAAAGATGGTGAAGGGAAGCCAAAATAAAAACACAATGGAGAATAACTTTTGTAATCGTGAAAATCTGAAAATAGAGGTGGCACCAAAAGGTTAAAAATCGACGTTACGCTACTGGAAAGAAGCTCATCATCCAGGGTAAAATCTTTGTACAAATGAATGTTGTATACTTAAATGAAATGTTTGTACAAGGTCCTGGTTAAAGAATTTAATATAAAATAGTTAAACCATCAGCACCACCTTGCTTTTTAGAGCGTCATGGTTTGCCATCACGTAGTCCAACTTCGGATAGAAGAGGAACCCCAAGGAGAAGAAGCTTAATTATAGAAGATACAAAAATAGGAGATTTAGAGGAAAAAAAATTCTGCAATGACCGCGTCCTGGGTTACGAAATTTAACACTTTTTGTTCTTATTTACACCACTAAACAAGTCTACTACGTTTATTACTTACAATTTGAATTAAATTTTGGATAACACTTTAGGATAAGGGTCAAATCACACTGAAAGAGCAGTGGCGAGCAGCGGCGGCCGGACGAGCTAGTTAATGCGGCGCGCGACTAGACTTGCGGAATTGGACAAACACTCGAATTTTTGCTAATTGTGTATTAAATTCTATTCGATATTCATTTTGTGTTAGTTTTTGTATTTAATCAGATTTGCTACGTAAAGTACGCTGCCGGCGGGGAGGAAAGCGTGAGTGCGGGACTGCACGCGGTGCCTACAAGTATATCGTTTCAAATCAATTTGCATTTTTTCTTTAGAGAATAAGATTCAAAATAGGTACTATACCCAGTATTTTCACCGGAGTATGTAGGACGAGCATTTTTGGTGCAAAGATTACCATCTTTGCACCAAAAATGCTCCTCATGCCGCTGCTGCTCTTTCACGTGACTCAGTGGCGAGCATTTAGCATTCATGAGTTTGTTTACAAACTTTCGTATCGCGACGGGCAGCATAAAATGTATAATTACTTTAAAAACTATAG